GCAGATGCTAATTTTGCAATGGATTTGATATACGGTTTAAAAGAAAGATCAGAAGTAAGAGTTAATCCTAGAAGATGAATGGTAGATGACTCATCTAGTACATTACCATTCATAAATATAGGAAGATCTAAATTATTACGATAACGATTGGCCGAATAAAATTGAGTTTTATCTGAATTAAAGTTCACCAGCCACTGTGAGCCCCATGCTGTAGCAGAAGTGAGATCCTTTTCAAGCTCAGATACCCCCTCCAAGCAATCAGAGAGTGTAGGCTTCTTATCATGACAAGAGTAAATGGTAGTGTCGTCAGCGAATAATGCCACCTTAGATGTGAGAATATCTGGAAGATCGTTAATGTAAATTAAAAAGAGTATAGGGCCAAGGATTGAACCTTGAGGAACCCCTGAAGTTACAGGATGTGAAGAAGAGTGTTGTCCATCGAGGACAACTTTTATACTACGATTGGAAAGAAAGGACTCAATAATCTTAAAGACGTTACCAGCTACACCATAAGAAGAAAGCTTATGGAGAAGACCAGCATGCCAAACTTTATCAAAAGCTTTAGAAATGTCAAGTGCGATAGCCTTAACCTCTCCACCTCTATCAATGCACGGTAAAACCTATCGGTTATTAATGTTAGCACATCAGCTGTGGAACGAGAAGACCGAAATCCATATTGATGATCAGAAAGTAAGTTATTTGATTCAAGATGAGAGATTAAGTGTTTGTTGATTAAAGATTCAAAAACCTTGCTTATGACAGGAAGAAGACTAATGGGACGGTAGTTAGATGAATCAGATCGCTCTCCGGAATTTTTGAAAATAGGGATAACAGATGCTGCTTTCCAGCATGATGGAAAACAAGACTCTGATAAGCACTTGTTAAATAGCATGATGGAAAACAAGACTCTGATAAGCATGATGGAAAACAAGACTCTGATAAGCACTTGTTAAATAGTTTTGAAAGTATGGATGAAAGCTCCGGAGAACACCTCTGCAAGACTACAACAGGAATGTTGTCAGGACCACAAGCTGTTGAAGAGTCTAAGCAGGAAATTACTTTAGATACAGAAGCTGAAGTGATGCGAATGTCAAGCAAGGGATCAACCTGTTTGACGGCTATGTCAGGTAAAACGCAACTAGTGGAATCAAGAGATGATATTGATGAAAAGTTCTTAGCAAACAATTCAGCTTTGTCTTTAGGTGAGGTGACAAAGTCTGAACCATACAAGAGAGAAGGAATAACAGATTTGCCCTTATTATTGATACTGTTAAAGATTCTCCAGAAGTCTCGAGAGCCTAATTTTTGTGATGAGATACGAGATTTAATGACCTGGGAATAGCGAGCTTTGGCGTCAGACAAAACCTTTTTACAATGGTTTCTGGCGATAGTGAACAGATGTCTGTTTTCTGGAGAATTGTTTTGCTGATAGATATGGAAGTAACGGTTTCGATTAGAAATTGCTGCAGCGCAATGTGAGGAAAACCAAGGAGAAGAGTGAGGCTTGACCTGGAATCGTCGAGAGGGAATAAAAGATTCCATGCCAGCCTGAATCCACGAAGTTATGTAAGAAGCACATTTGTCAGCAGGAAGACGAAAGATTTCTACCCAAGGGCCATCACGAAGAAAATCACGGAAAGAGTCCCAGTCAGCTTTAAGGTAGTTGTATGTGGTACGATGATAGGGGGATTCTGATGAAGTAGAAGAATTTGATAATAGTTTTAGAGAGATCAAACCGTGATCAGAAGTACCTAAGGGTGAATGTGGAGAAATTGAGCACTGACTAGGATCCAAAACAAGACATAAGTCGAGTAGAGAAGGTAAATGATTAGGGTTGTTTGGAAAACGAGTTGGAAATTTTGGTAATAGTTTGAACTTCAAAATGTTTTTTTATTCCCGGTAAAGATTTTGATGAAAAAATTAATTTTGACAATTCAATCTCTTCATTGCGTTTTTTAATCTCATCAACATCAACCAAAATAACCTTGACATCCATATTTTCTGCTGTCTTTGCAAATTCGGATTTTACAAATCTTTTAACAAATCCTTGAATTCTATCAACAAGGGATTTGCTGTGCATGGGTGCAAAAAAAACCTCATTTAATTTTCATCTTGTGTTGTTTTTGTAACATTTTAAAAGACTCCATTATATACTTATTTTTGAACTAAGATGTTACATTATCAATCCAAAATGTAACTTGTTGGACTGTTTCTGGCAGCTGCTCCATAATGACATCAATAAACGAAACCACGGTTTCTTTTGAATGTTTTTGATGGTCCAATGCAATTGCAAGTGACTGCAAATGACACCGATGATATACAACTGAGGCAAAGATTGGAATTGGAGTCTGACCGTGATGAAACCACAAAGCGCTCTTTACGGCCAAACTCCAATTCCAATCTTCACCTCAGTTGTATATCAATGGTATCATTTGCAGTCACTTGCAATTGCAAATTTTTTTGAGTGATGCATTTAAAGTTTTCTGCAAAATCAACTCATACGACCGCTTGGTTAGAATTTTGTTGTATACATATATCAATCATTTGACAAAATAGTTTAGCTTGATTCCAAAAATCAGGAGCTAGTTTGTATAATTCATATAATAATTCAATTATCTGCCCAGACTTAAAGACTTTCTTGATATTGCAATAAACGTTAGGACAACTCTTTTTTAATTCAGTTTTAACCCATTTTTGCCAATTTTTAATTATTTAAACTCTCAATTTCATACTCTAATATTTGAATGTTAAGTGCACCTATACAATATTCGCAATGGTTCATGAAACAATCAATAAGCGGATTATCTGTCAACAAATAATCAAATATGGGATGTGACTTTTTTAAAGTTACAAATTTAAAACGCATATTTTCATGAATAGCGCAAACACAAACATTATGTGGTACTTTGGTGATTAACAAAACATTACATGATCTTAAGTAAAAAAAGTTTGTTAATCCAATAATAATACTTGGATTTTGTTTTTTAAACATTCCATAAACTTATTTTATAGGGTAGATCAAATGCTTAACACTAAGATTTTTTTTAATTCCGCCTTCACAAGCTTCAACAAAGTCTGATATGTTTGGTGATGTTGTACCTATATCATCGCTTAGACTTAGCGCTAATTTTATAGTATCATCTGATACTTTTACAGGTGCTCCAATTTAACTTAAACGGTTGATTTTCACCTAATAATGTTTTCAAAAAGGAAGTACTTTGTTCTGGAGATCCAACTAAGGCATTTTTTACTTTTTTTATTAACTTATCTTTGACTTGAGAACAAAAAAAATAGAACTTGTCTTATTTGTTGATCGCAAAGCAGTTCTCTTCTTCTTTTTATACTTCTTTTGCCTTTAGCTGTTTTTTGTATTGCTTATTTTCCTTTGCTCATCATTGAGTGAAATTATTTTCCTTTGCTCATCATTGAGTGAAATTTTTAATCTTTGCCTAAAAGTTTTTGAATAACCTGCGAGTTTTGTTTTGCTCTGAATTCTGTTTCCTCCATTTTTTTTTTGGTGTCTTACTATATGATAAAAACAAAATTATTTTTTTTATATTATTTATATATAACTTGAGCAACTTGATTATTAAACAATTAAAAAATAAAACTCACGGCATGGTAATTTAATTTTATAAAAGTAAATCTAATCCTTGCATGTACAATTTTCAAATTATGAAAAAATAAAAATTCTGTGGTAATGCAATTCATTGTTATTTAAAGTTGCGTTATGCCAATACATTGTTTTAATCACATTTTCAAAATAGTTACTGACATAACGCAACTTTAAGTATAAAATTTGGAATCAATTTTTCTTTGATAGAAAAAATAATAATTAAGTTTTGTGTTTAATATCAAGAGTTACATTTTATTAAAAAAAAAAATTTTTTAATTTAAAATTTTTACTGTAAGATATTTTTTCTTACTGAGGTAATGCATATTTTTTCACTATTCTCGTCAAATATTTTTATTAGTTATTTACTTTTGGTTAAATATCTTTTTTGTTATGAAATAGTGCACCTACCTTCTCCCTTTGCATATCAAAAAACTTTTGGAAAATTGCAATTACATATACTTAAAGTATAACATTATTAAATGTACTTTATGGATTTTAGAAAATAAGAAAATTTCAGAGTTTTGGCAGCGTGAGGGTGCCTCATTTCTAAATTTGAATTTATATTTATATCAATTTTAGAACATATAAAGTATATATATATATATATATATATATATATATATATATATATATATATATATATATATATATATATATATATATATATATATATATATATATATATATATATATATATATATATATATATATATATATATATATATATATAATCCATAGGCATAAATAGTCAAAGTAAGATTTTTTAAATCACAATTTTTTTAAAGTTTTAATGGAATGCACCATATGATGATGTGTTTCAAAAATAGCATAGTCATGCACTTGAGTAATGAAAAAAATTTAAAATAAATGTAACTGATAATAAACATATGAAACATAAGAAACCAAAATTGCATAATTTCTACTCTATTATCTATTTAATATTAAATATAATAATAATAAATACACAAAAACATATAATTCATATTTTTATTTATCATAAGGCATGCTTATATTTATAGATTTTTTATAAAAATTAGATTAAATTTCCTTAACATAAAAAGCTTCATGTTATTTCAATTACTCTGTTTTTAATCATTAGATCCACCTTGCAAAGACATGAGAAGACAACATAAAACTTTTTCTATTGAAAACATTAGTACGATAGTTCAGTATATAAAATTATTTTGAAAACATTATATATTATCTGTAATTAGCAGATCCATGCAATTTTTACATATGTACACATATAGTCATGCATTTCGCACATATGTACATAATAATAAATATGTACATAATAAATATGTACATATTTATGAAATATAACATGAAACATTTTGATGGAGTGAAAAAATTGTGTTAAATATAAAATTTAAAAATTGTTTACCAATGTTTTTTAACATTAACTTTTCAAATGTAGCTACCAAGATGTTTCTATGTTTTGTATACAACTTGACAACATTACTTCTGGTTTTAATTAAAATTGCAGGTTCAATCTCATCCAGAAAAGTAATCTAAATAAAAAAAACAAAAATCATGTTTAACAATAATAATAATAATAATAATAAAAATAATATTATTAATATTGTTAAGTGATCTAAAACTTAATTGTTTTTAATATCTTAAATATAGTAAGATGTATAAATAAAAATTTAAACAAATTATAATCTAACCAATCTTTGAATGTTAATTAATACTTAATTTGTTCTTTTTTTAAATGTTCTTTTTTTATTTTTCTTTGTTATTTTAAAAATACTTTTACAAGCACTTACAAAACCAGTAACAGTTCTTAACAGTAACTGTTAGTACCTAACAATTTTTTTAGCCTTATATTTTGAAAAACTTTGTAAATTCAACAACTACTTAGGAAGAAACACTAGACCAAAACAATATTTGAAAAAATATTTTTCCTGTTATTTACAAGTGTTGTCTATATATTAGTGAACTTAATGATGGATCTAATAGTTGTGATGAAACTGGTAAACTTCATGAAAAAGTATTCATGAAGAAATGCAAATATATTATAATTTTCTAACTCTTGAGTCATCAGCTGTGTATAACAGTCTACAACTAAAGCAACTACCAAAAATACTAGCTAACTTGATCACAACAAAACCTTTATGATTCAAAAATGTATTGCACTTAATAAAGAACTTTACAGTTGGCTGAATTACATACCTTTACAGTTGGCTGAATTCGAATAGAATACAATTTTTTTGGAAATATTTTCAAATAATATTCTTTTATGGTCAGCATCTAAATTGAAAAAAAGAAAAAAATATCAACTTTATAAAATGTTCAAAGTTTTTATTTTTTTACAAAAATGTTACTAATGAAGTAAAATAAAATTTAAAAAACTAGAATTCAGCTGGAAGAAAAGAAAACAGTTTTTTGGTGTTAACCTGTAAACTGTACTTAAACTTATTTTTATTTTAATTCATCTCCCCAAGACCAAGTAGGCCACTACAGTCAAGGAAGCTACTTTAATTATGGTTACAACAACTCTCAACTCTATAACTCTGAAACACGAACTTTGGCGAACAAGGTCGCTGCTCTGCTTTTATTAGTAAATTTTATGTAGTTATTTTTTACTTTATTTCATCAACAAACATATAAAGCTTGGATATCATTCATTGAGCACTCTTGCTGAAGAAATACAGATAATAAAATATATTTAGTCTCATTCTACAGCTGATTTGATAACAGTAATAACCGATAGATTTTACCCTGCATTAGATAAAGGTGGAGAGGTTAAGGCTATCGCTTTAGACATTTCTAAAGCTTTTGATAAAGTTTGGCATACTGGTCTTCTCCATAAGCTTTCTATATATGGTCTACCAGGTAACATCTTTAAGATTATTGAATCCTCTCTTTCCCAAACGTAGCATAAAAATTGTCCTTTTTTGAATTAAAGTGCATAATTATTTTATTAATTATTACAACTATTTCACAATAATATTTTAATTTATGATATTTCAGATTTTTTTTAATTTCTCTTTGTAAAAAATTTTTTAATAAAACAACTTTTGTAACTTTTAAGTTAATTACAATATTGAAAACTTATAAAGAACAAATTTTGTTAATATATATGCAAACATAATAAATCTTATGTTCTTACATTTATAGTCATGAACAAAGAACATGAACAAAAAGTCAAAGCTTATATTATTTTGTGTAACTTACTTGTTAAACAGTATAAATTACCTAAAAGTTTTCTTTTTTTTCAATAGTATTTTCGTTTAAAAGAATTTTAAATATATTTAACTATACAATAACTTTTCTAATATCTTGTTTACTAATTCACAGAAAACTAACATAAAATTGACTTGAAATTTTTTCTTAACATAAATTTAAATATCTGAAGAAATATATCAAAATGTAATTATGTTATAACTATATTGTAACTAAGAGTAAAACTTGAAATTCTATAATTTCATAATCCGATAGTCACAACTGACCCAACAGTGCTCCTAACAGGTCATCCAAGTGCTTTATCATATCCAACAATCCACGTATAGCTCATCAAATAGATTTATCTACAGATAATCCATTAATCTTAGATTGTTATGAAGTTAAACACCTTTTAAGAAAAATGTTTCTAAACTATTAATACCTGTAATGAAAGCAACTTTCCTAAGAGATAAAAAACCCTGAAATGAAACTCTACTTCTTTGTGTTAAAAGCCAACGGAGCCTAGATTATAGTACTAGTCTTAGATGATAATCATCCAGTGGTGTCAAAATAAAAATAATTAGTTTCCTGAAGGTTAGGTCACTCAATGTGAATTCTATGCAAAAAAAGATTGCAGAAATTACAAATATAAGAATACTAGACATATCTGCATGCTGCTTGCAAGAGACTTGCCAGGTGTCAATGCTGAGATAGTTGGATATGATGATTGTTGGTGCAAATGTGACATATTTGGTGAAATGTTTTACAAAAAAGAAACCTTTGTGAATAAGTGCATAGCAAAAAATCAGGCTCTTGTATTGCATGGCTAAGCCAAAGGCAAATCAAGTTGTATACAAAGCTCAACCATTGAGCTAAAGTTATTTAATGAGATACTAGATCTAGAGGATAAAAGAAATATTCAAAAGTAGTATTCAAAGTTATAAAGCAAATGAAAAATGTTGTTAGAGGCTGCGTGTTAGATTGTTAGGCTGTATTAAAGGATGGAAAAACTTTTACTTTTGAAGTAAAAAGATTGATGGCTTGTTTTGAAAAACTGCAAAATGAAGAATTTAATTGAAATAAAAATTAAAAAAAAAAAAAGAAAATGGATAAAGTTAGTAATAAAGACAACTGAGCCCTTTAGTAAAGTGAAATCAGGTATTTGGAGGACAAAATTAGAAGCAGTCTATTTGTCAACATAATGTTGTTTAGTTTTAGACAAGGAAAAGGAACGACAAATGTAAACTTCAAAGAATCTTTCAAAAGAATAATAATAATGGTTGTATGGTGGGCTTTGAGGTGTTTCGACGCCGAAAATCCAAGTATTGAAGAATGACAAGCAATAATTATTGTGGCTATATATAAAAATTTCAAAATATTAAAGTAAAGATTAGTATGCAGTGCTCAACCCTTTGTCTCATATTATTGTTTTGAAAGCTCTCTGGAGAATTTTTACTAGTATTATCATGGCAACTGTTCTATGGATATGCTTTGGATTGCAGAAACAGAAAAGAAGTTAATAAAATTTCAGTGTTAAAAAAATGAAATAATGAATATTGAAAAGATATCAGAATATACATGAATAAGAAAAAAAAGTATACATTGTTAAGTCAAAAAGGAGCATGTAGAAAATATTGGTAAGTGGCCATGTGAAATGCCCAGAAAAAGAATTGGAGCAAGCTTGTTTATTCAGATTAAGATGGTATGGAATTGTAGAGCATAAAGATGACTGGATATCAGTATTTAAATAAGAAGATGCACAAGATTATGTATATTTGAAAGAAAATAGAGAAATTATAAAAAACATTCAACTTGTGCAAGCATAGAAAAAATGAATGCTAAAAAAAATGTTGTTGATGAAGCTTATTTAACAGATCTACCTATTGATCATACAACAACCAGAGCTTATCTAATAGATTCATATACACTTTATATATTCTATAGTTCATAAAACAGTTCTCTTAATAAACCTTTCAACAAATCTTTAAAAATAATAGCAGTTAACATTAACAGAAAAAATACAATATTTTACTTTTGGACTAATGTAGCAAAAAACTTTTCTTTTCTTATCTGTAACTGTTTCAGATTGTTTCATAATATTTTCACTTCTAATATATCCTTCATAATATAGGTTCCAACTCGACATTTGAATATTTTTTTGCACTTCTTTCATCTCAACATCTAAAAAAAGGTTTTAGCATAAACAAACATTAGCATGTTGATGCTCAGTTTAAGTAAATCTTTAAAAAGTCTGTAGTGAGTGTCAGTCAGTGTATGTGACAGTCAGTCAGTGTAATGAGTGTATAAAAAAGTTTTTCACTTCTACATTTACTTTTTTTACTACATTTCTACAGACATTTTTTTTGAATAAATTTTTTATAAAAAATGCATATCTTATAGTTTTATTTATTATAAAAAAAAAATAAGTAAAAAAATTTTGCAAAAAAAAAGGAAAAGGAAAAAAAAGTTTGCAAGAAAAGAAAAGCATTTAATGTAGTTTAGTTAATACCCCCCCCCCCCCACACACACATACATAAATATATATATATATATATATATATATATATATATATATATATATATATATATATATATATATATATATATATATATATATAACCCTCAGAATTAATGTCGGCATAAAAGTGTTTAAGTTCTGCAAAAAATTGCCGACCTCATTTCTATGTTTTATTTATATATAACATATATACCTTTATGTTTTACTTGTAGATAATAATAACAGTGATTATAATGAAAGAAAATTTTAATAAAACAAAACTATATTTTAAGCTTAACATGTTTTTGTAATAAACACAAAAACTACAAAGATATAACAAAAGAAATCAGTGAAAGCCTATTTTTTTATTGAATTTGTCATTTTTTTTTAATTTAATTTAATTTTTAGTTGCCTTTTTTTGAAACTGAATTCTCGCTAAATTTTTTCAGATTTTTGTGCTTCCTTTAAGATTTAAGATCTCTAAGGAAGCACAAAAAAGGAATCTTAAGTAGTTTTTTACATAATTCATAAACCATTGGTTTATAAATGTATGTAAATGCATTATGCAAGTAAGTTGCAGCAACCAAAGTTGCTCTAACGTACTTGCATTATGCATCTATGAGGTGCCCTGTAAAGTAGCTGGTAAGAGTGTATGTTTGACAAAAAGTGTGAGATTTGTTGAGCCAAAAAAAAAAAAACATTCTTTTGCGTTAGATGTAAACAAGAATCAGTTGTTCGTATTTTAATAGCAGGAAAAAAAAAACCATTTAATATAGATGAGTGAGAATGAGAAAGAATGAGAGAGCAACATTATTTAACTAAATTAAGATTAGCTATTGGGGGAGCTTTTTATTAATAAATACACTTTTCTTTATTTATTTAATACTTTGATATCTTACCGACATATAAATGGAATACTTTTTCCGTGTTTCCTTCAAATGTTAATATTAAGATATCTAGAATCTTCTAATTATGTTCTAAACTATTTAGACAAAGTTTGTCATTATTTTCAATCTGAATATCAAAAATATACCCAATCATTTTTAAACTGCTCTGAACACTTTTATTCTTTCTGAAGTTTCTGAGAAAAGAATAAAAATATTGTTGAATCTACTTACAAACATTGAATCTCATTGAAATCTCAACATTGAATCATCAAGTTGCTTACAATAAATATCATAACAATAGCTGTTTATAAAAAAATTCACTTATGTGATATAGAGCCTAATGATCAATAAAAAAAAAAAGGAAATGTTCAACCAATATAAGATCAAAAATAGACCACAAAACAATGATGACCTCTTGTGATTTATTTTGATCGTTAATTTAGGTAAGAAAAAAACTTTTTGTTTTATTGTAAAATCATCTGCATCAACTGATCATTATTGTCATCATCAAATCATCAAACAATTATCAACTTGACTAACAAAATTATTATCAACTTGACTAGCAAAAATGTATGCAGTCATTTTCAAACAGCTCTAAACATTTTTGTTCTTCCTGCAAACCTCTGAGCTTTAAAACTAACTTTATAAAAATAAAGTTTTAATAGAAAATCCATTAAAACTTTACAAAAATGTTTTAATAGATTTTTACCTAGTCTGATTATCTGGTAATTTCAGGCCTTGTTAAGAAGCTGTACACATATTATGCACAAAATGGCAATTTTAACAATGTATTAAATGATTTAAGTTACGTCAAATCTGTAATCTCATGGAATATTTGAGCTGTATTTTATAATTTATATGCAGCATTTATTTAGAAAACAGTCAAAATTTATCATTGTAAAAAAACATTTTCACTGCAACTGTGAAATAAATTATTGTGATTTTAGTCATTGTATTTTTTAAATAATATTAAAATAAATTGTGTATTTTAATTTTAATTATTTTTTTCAATTTAACAGTTTAAATAACCTTTATTTCGATACTGACAAACTGAGTTAAAGAAGAAAAAAAAGTTTAAACTTTTTATAACCTTTAATTTTATTTGATTTAAGGTTATTTTTTTTACATTTATATTACATTGAACAATCTATGTTTATTAATGTATAATTTTAAACTCATGACTTTTTTTCTCCTAATACAAACGTGTTTATGATTAACTGTTTCTAAAATCATTACAAGATCTACCATCAGCAAGGTCTGTAGGCAATAATATTTAACAGAATTTAGTAATTAAACTTTTTTTAATATATAATAAACTTTTTTTAACACAAATTTTTCTATTTTCATTTATATTTCATTGTACTTATGACATTTATATTTATGCAAGTAATTTGCGTTCCTGATTATCTTATTGTTAGTTAATAAAATCTATCTATAAATTGCTCAAAATCTTTATTAAAATTAGTTTGGTAAAAAATCTCTAAACTGTTCAAATTTAGAATTTTTTAAATTGGTTTGAAATTAAATTTAACTGCAAATCAACAGCAAAACTATTATAATGTCAGCTGTCAACAGCAGTGATGTTTGTACTTCATTAAAGTTTTAAAAAATTGACATGAAAATTAACAGAAAAAAAAATATCTGATTTACTTGTAAGTACGACCAAAGTAACATTTTCACTAAATAATTTATCGTCATAGTATATAGCTGCAGAGTAAACACCAGCTTTACTTAAAGTTATCCATGCTTGATGTAATTTTGCATCAGGTTCTTCAATAAATAACAGCTGGGGAGAAATTCGATCAGCAGAATATCCAAGCTTAAGAAAAATAAAGAAAATTAATTTTCTATAGATCACTTATATTTTGATGCTATTATGTTGTTGCAAGACACATAGAGTGTATATATAAAAAATAAAAGTCAGTGAATGATTCAACAAGAGTACAACAGGTGATTAGATGACTTAGATGATTTTGTACTAAACTGATAAAAAAGATTCAAGGGAAATTTAAAATCTTTCTAATTCATAGTAAAAACTTGACTTTTCAGAGAAAGAATCAAGTGTATGTAGCTCTATTGCTTTAGTGCTGTGCTAATGTTATCATTAGCATAAGGTTAATACCAAGTACAATTTTAACATTAGGGGACTTAATCTTAGATAATGACTTAAAACTTACATTTTATTTCATAATCAAACTTTATAACTATTATATATACTTTATAACTATTATATATACTTTTTCTTTACTTGATTACTTTTTTATTTTTTTAGTTGTATTTTTTTAGTATGCGGCAGTGGTGTAGTGGTAAGAGCGCTCGCTTTGTAAGCGAGAGGTTCGGAGTTCGACTCCCACCACGTCCCTGGAAGTACCGCGCTCAACTTAGTTTCTCCGCGCAGCGGCCTTGCTTGTCAAGGTTCGTGTTTCGGAGTTAAAGAGTTGAGAGAGGGTTGTACCACGAAATACAACAAAAAAATAAAAAACACAAAAAAATGAGTAGCCTCCTCGACTGTAGTGGCCCCCTCGGGCCTTGGGGAGGTGAATAATGTAAAAAAAAAAAAAAAAAAAAAAGTTAAAAAAAGATGTTTGTCATTTGCAAAGTCATTGTATATCAATAAGATAAAGCAAAATAAAATTTATATTCTTTTGCTTTATAATTATTCTAAAAAGCACAAAGTTGATGTGCTAAAGAGGTGGATAAAAAATGCCTCTATTTTTTCCAGTGTTAGCGCAGTTGACAAGAAATGTGCACTAACAACTTTGAAAACACCTTCCAAGCATCCTAAACCCTAATCTACACATAAGACACTTATTTTACTCCTTACCCACAACTATCAAGAATTAAAAAAAAAACAATAAAACTCTGAAGGAAATGTCAGAAGGTGACAGCTATTATCACTAGGTTTGTCTGGAACATCAGCCAAAAATTAGAAAAGTCCCCATTAAACTTACAAACTTATTTATCACAACACAAATTTATAGAATTTACCTTAAAAATTAATAATTAGTCATAAAAAATTATAGCTTCTTAAAAAAATATATTATCAACAATCTAAAATTCAAAATCTTTAATGACATAAAAATCATATTTTTATTCAAAGTGATTTAATAACAAAATACCAAGTATTGATTTAACAACATCTTGCTCTGTATTGTTTTGACACGCAGTTGCTTACTTGAAGTATTCAAAAATAACAATAACATCTTAAAACTAAAGGCATAGAACATATACCTTTAGTTTTATGCTTTGAGAAAGATTATATTAAAAAATTACATTTTAAGAAAGATTAAAATAAAAAATTATTTATTATATTACCATTTATCTACATTTAATCAGATGCATTTATATAAGGGGTTGTCCACAAATTATGTCATGCTTTAGAGGGGAGGGGTTAGTTGTTTTGTGATGACTCATACAGAACTTGTTACTAAAGAGTTACGATCTTGTGACGAGGAGGGAAGGGGGTCAAAAACGATCATAAATTGCATGATGTAATTGGTGGACGATCCCTAAAGAATTTACTTTCTAACTAACAATATTTAAATATTTCCTGTATTAATTACCAGACATATCTCTCTCTTGCAATCAATATATGTAAATAATATTAAAAAAAAAAACTGCATGAAATAAAAAGAAATTCTCTGCATTAACATCATTTCAAATTATACATCTCAAACACTTTTGTGTCTCATTCATTTTACAAAAAGTGTCAGATTTTTTAAAAAAGTATCCAATAGAGATTTATTCTTAATGTATGAACAAGTACAAAATTTTATAAAATTGTACACAAATAACTTACTGCATAAATATGAAACTGGTACTTGTAAAGCTCTTCAACCATTGAATAACATTGATTACCATATTTGTCTCGCTCATCAAAACTAATTAACTCACTTTGATTTTCTTCAAGAATCAATAAAGAACTTGGAAGTAAAAGACCACTCCTTGTGGTATCAATTTTTCCTGTAACATATTACAGTAATAGTATTATATATTAGTAAAAAAATGATAAACAAATTTTAACATAAATATTATTGCAAAAGTTATGCAAACGCACTAAATAAAATTTAAAGTGATTGTGCTTTGAATTACCTGCTTTATACTCTTTTGAAATTGGACAATTTGCTAAAACTTTTCCATTAGCAATAATGGAAATGCTGTAGTTACCAGCTTTTATTGGTGTAAAATAAATCAGTATACAATTCTTCTCTTCGCAGAAAACAAGATTTACTTCTAAAGACGACCCTTCTATTAAAACTTCACATTTTAAACTAGAAAACTTTGTTGCATCATAAGGTCCACCATTAGCTTTACAAAACTAAATAAAAAAAAAATGTTAAATTCTATTCCATTTTTTATAACATATTTAACATTTCAGAAACCAAGTAATAGTAAAGCATTTTTTTAATCAGTTATTGTTTATAAAAAAAAAATCATTTTTTAACAAGAAAAAATTAAATATATATATATATATATATATATATATATATATATATATATACACATTTAATTTTTTCTTGTTAAAAAAAAAATATATATATATATATATACATTTAATTTTTTCTTGTTAATATATATATATATATATATATATATATATATATATATATATATATATATATATATATATATATATATATGTATATATATATATATATATATATATATATATATATATATATATATATATATATATATATATATATATATATATATATATATATATATATATATATATATATATATATATATATATAGTTAGTATTTGTGAAAAAAGAGGAAGATATGCAACTTTACGACAATGGCAGCCAGGCTTAAGCTTGGCAGATAAAGCAATTCCAACTATATTTACAATGGATTTTTTGACCTTGTCTAAAAGAGAAAGAGCATCATTAGAAAAACCAGCAACAACAGACAACAGTATTCAATAGAGACAAATAAGAGATTTGTAGATGTAGAAAATGAAATCAGGAGTAAGAAAATGGCAAGCACAATAAAGAAAAACAACCTTAGTGGATGCTAATTTAGCCATCGGTTGTATATATGGATTTTAAAAAAATGATTACAACTAGATATAGTAGCAAAAAAACATTGAGTAGAAGAGGCTTGACTTGGAACCATGAAAAGAAATAAAAGGTTTTGCTTCTGCCTGGATCCAGGTTACAAAGGAGGCGCATTTATCAGCGGAGAGAAAAAAGACATCAGCATCAAAGACTGTCACAAAAAATATCACGAAAAGAATGACAGTCAGTTTTAGGGTAGTAGTAAGTAGTGCAATGATAGGTCCAAAGAAGAAGTATGAGATAAAAGATTTATAGTGATCACTTCATGGTCAGAACTACCTGAAGGAGAAAAAGGAGAAACTGAACACAAGTTAGGGTCAGAGGCAAGACACAAATCAATATGTGAAGGTAAGTGATTAGGGTTGTCTAGAAAACAAGTTACAAAGTTAACTATCAGAGTAAGAGGTTGAAAAATGCAGAAGTTATGGACTTTAATGTCAGCAGGGTCAGTGGTGTTAGAGCCAAGCCATTCAGTGTGATGAGCATTAAAGTCACCAATAATAACAATATTGGCAGAGGGGTAATAAGAAAAGGAAATACAGAAACTGTTTAAAAAGATTATAATATGTTATAAAATATAAGCTATTTTAAAACTATTCAATAGATATTATAATAATAATCATGTAATATTATAATATGAAACTATTCAAAAGAAAATATAAGCTATTTTAAAACTATTCAAAAGAAAATATAAACTATTTTAAAACTATTCAATAGATATTATTTACCATTTTATATTGTTAAGATAAACATATAAAAAAGAAAAATTTATATCTACCACAATATAATTTTATTGTAAACAATTTTAAATTTTTACAAAAAAAATTTATTTTAGAAGTGATTTAAGAAATTACAATATCAAATTCTTTCATTCAAAGTTTGATTATAAACAATTTTCCTGAGAAAAGAATGTAGAAACCTTTTAATTACAATGCACAACTGGTTACATAACAGAATATCAATGTTAGCTGGTCAATGTGAGTGATGTTAGATGTAGAGCCAATACTTATGCCATCGAAGAGTTGAGCTTTTACCGACTTTTAAATTTACTGGTAATTCAGTAAAAAAAAGTATAATTTACCAGTAAATATAGATAAAAAATTATAGAAAATCATATAAAATTTTACTTTTTGAATCTTAAAAGTTTTTATAAAATTAAGATCTAATACCTTTATTAATAATTTGTTATATTGATAAAAAATGAGCTTTTTGGAAACAAATTGTATCATTAAAGTTTTCATTCATTTTAGATGTAATTTTCGTCACAAATAAGCCAACAGCAGAAAAGGCTTGTTCAGACTTGATACTTGTTGAAGGGATAGTCTCTAGTACAGTTCTTTTTCCAATAGCTTCAATGACCAACATTCCTTTTGAAATGGCTTTGAATCCGTCATTTAAATTGTGGTGAGGTTTTTTGGCCAAATGATGAATTGTTCTCTTGAGTTCATCTTTTAGTAAAAATGGATTTGAATTGATATTTTCTGAGCCACCCACTTCTTAAACAAACTCTAAGTCATCTGGATTCATTTAGAAATGTCTAGACAGCAAATTTTTATTAGTCTTTTGAAGTACAGACTTAAAAAATTATTTCGAAAACTTCATGTTCTTAAATGTTGGATAAACATTCTGGATTGGAAATATTTCTGTACATGATTGCAAGAGCCATCTCTCTTCAAAACTTCTCAAAACTGCACTCTTCACTTCAATGCAAAGAGTTGAACCTCGTTTAATCATTCTGTTCACAAGAAACTTGAAAATTCCCTCAGCTGTAAAAAGAGTTGCATCCTCTTGGCTTCTGCTGCCAATTTAATTGGTTCAAGAGTAGCAACAATGTTGTATAAAATGTTTAATTAATCATTACATTACTTCAGTGTAGTTAAAAAGCGTTTCTGATTGTCACAAAAATAAAAACTTTTTAACTGACTGGATTGCTTCCTTTTGATTTTTTGGAATTTCATAACCTTTTTTACAAATTGCAGATCGAATGAAAGAGCTGCACTGGATGGATTTAGTTTCTATGCAATTGTTAACAGTGCTGTTAACAATTGCATAGAAACTAAATTCATCCAGTGCTGTAAGTCTTAAAACCACTTCATTTGGTTGCAATTGGAAAAAAATTGAAATCTAAGAATTTTTTTATTCTGTTTGCATTTATTTATTCTGTTGCTTTTATTGTCAACTTTCTTGTGTTTATATTTTGATTTCATGTTTTTTGTCTAGGTGATACCACATTACAGGTGTGGAACTTGAGTAATTACTGATATTTTCACATTTTACAATGCTTTTCCTTTGATTTAGGTGGTTTTTGACCAAAAAATTGATTGATAAATATCACAATAAATATACCGCAAGAAAGTAGTAATGTCTTTCTTAAAATGTTTAGACAAAACTTAACTAACAGAATCAGTTTCTAGACAAAGCAGAAAACAGCTTAGTTCAAGCAATTATAAAAATTTTTAAATTTTTTATTTATTGATCATGCCATTTCAAACCTATTAAAATATTTTAAAGCATTTTTTAGCATAATATTTCATATAATAATTCTATTTACCATCTTCTTTTTTTAAATATTTTTTAGAGAGAAACAAATAAATAGAGAAGTTTTGATTTGCATAGAGGAAAACAATATACTTAACATCAAGTATATACATATAGGCACAGAAAGTTCATGCCTTTTTCCTTACCAATGTCGCTTATTGGGCTAAAGCCAGCGTTGAACTTGGACCTCTTGGTTTTGAGCCAGAACTCTAACCACTGCACCATGGTTGCACTTCATAACGAAATCGTAACAAAATTTTAAACAAAATGAAAAACAATAACCTATTAAGTGCGGCTGCAAATCTTTGCTTCTTTTTAAAAAATATATTATTCACAAAGGTAGCAAAAAAAAATGGATTTCAAATGAACTGTTCAATTAATAGTATAGTATAAATCGTTATTTACTGAAATTTACCAATAAAATTTTGCCAGTAAATGGGTAAAACAATTTTTCTGATTTACCAGTAAATTTTCGGTAAAAGCTGAGCCAGAGATATTCAGCTATTTTTTATTTTATATATTCCTTTTATTACCTCTGATACCAATAGCTTATTTAATTCTTTGGAAACTGTCGTAAAGTGTTCATTCATCTTTGCTAAACTTTAATTCTTATAAATATATTTTGCAATATGGACTCAAAAAAATTAAAATTAAATCTCCGTAGCCAAAGAAGATAAAAAATATTTTCATCTTATCAATTACAAGTACTAATCTCAGTTGATAAATCAATCAGAGCATTTTAGCAGTAAATCCAACAGACAGTGTTATTCATACTTCCCAAGACTTCTTGTTTGCTTTTTTTCTCTTTTTTATTCCGATTTATGTTTTAACTTCTGCTCATATGATTTTGAAATAAAACAATATTAAAACAAATAAATAGGAAGCACAGAAGCATCAGTATTAAATGTTGTTATTGTTATATTATTAAACTTAATAGAACGATAAATAAATATGAAACTTAACAACATGATGAATAAAATATTTTTTAACATTTAAAAAATATTTTAGCAAGAAAAAAACATATATAAAAGAAAAAAACATATATAACTGATTCGATTACAATGGTGCTGATATGTAGTGAATCAATTCTAATTTTAATTAAAAAGGAAATAAAACTTTGTCAAAAGGTCATTCAGAATGTAGGTAACTATTTGTGAACTATATACTTGTCATGTATATAAAAATCTAAAATGAAAAAAAAAAAATAAATACAAATAACTTTTGACCAAAAATATACCGTTATCTTTAACACATTTTCCATGCCAACAACATCTTCCTCATTTAGCCATGTTATAAAGCTTCTTTTTTCATCAAAATAATTTCCAAATATGTTTTGAAAACAACCAACACTAACTGTATTACTAAGATTGTCAACCTGAGATACTCTTGGTAACATGCCTCTTAAAATTGAATTTCCAAAAACACCCAAATGGAAAACTGAAATGAATCCATTTTGAATTCTCTGTGCCATTTGTGGTAGTTGACGCATGAAAATAGTAGTGGCAATATATGCAAGTAAAACAGATATAAGAAAGAACAACAACAGAAGACCTGCACCACAGGTAACTAAAACATTTAGAATAATAAAATTTTCAAACCAAGTTTAATCTTAAGTTAGGGTTTCTCCATTTTTGTTTAGCTTTTTGTATCTATATTAGAGAGAAGGGGGAAGGAGGTTTGGAAAGGGGGGTGAGGTTACAATTGAAATGCAAAGAAGACCTCATATTACAGGATTTACTTATCTATATCAGCGTGGAAAATAAGAAGTTGAAAGCGAGCAGTCAACTTGACCAGTTAACACATGGATTTGACCGTTGATTGTTTTTTTTGGACAGTCAAAATTTTTTTTTTTTTGAACTAGTATTCTTTTTAAAATAATGATTTTAAATAAAATTAATGCATTTTTTAGGTTTTAAACTCACAAATTAAAAACGAAGGTTATTTAAGTTTTAAACTCGCAAAAAAAATAAAGTTCAAATTACCTGCTGATGTTAATTTGTTTAAAATTATGCTTGCACACACAGATTTTTATTGAAATAAAAAAAGAAGTTTGACAATATCCAATTGATCTAATGTTGAATTTTATTTTTTAATATCAAAACAAATTTTATATAATAATAAAAAAAATTTAAACTGAATACTTAATACTAAAAGAAATTGTTTTATGAATGCTATTGAAAAATGAAAGCGTTGTTTGTCTCTTTTTATTCACTTTAATTAAAACGGGTTGACATTTGATGTTTCTATTACAATTTATTAAAAGAAAGGAAAAAAAAATTAGTAAACGCGCAACTGATTATTTCAAATTTCTTTTAAACTAATTAATTTATTGCAATGGCTTCACATCAGCAGGAAAAAGCTACAAAAAAAATAAATGAAAAGATTAAATTTTAAAAAAAAGTACATTTAGTAGAGAAACTGTTCTTAGTTACAAAAATTTTAAATAACAATTTTATCTGCTTATTAAAATTTCTGATTTTAAGAAGCAGAGATATAAAATATTTTTTTATCTCTGTTCATTTGAAAAACTGTAAAAATTAGTTATTTACAGGGGTGGGACCGCAAAATGTGAACACTTTTCTGATTGTAATAATTAATTTTCTGTTAAATATGAACTATTTTAAATGTTCAATTTTTGTTTTTTTACATATTATATTTTACTTTGTTTACATATTCATTAGTACTTTGTCTTTCGTTTTTTATCAAATAAACTCAACTACATCTAACGAGAAAATAGTTATAATAAAACAAAAACGTTCACATTTTGCGGTCCCACCCCTGTATAACTTTATTAACACTTGTGCGCAAATTTTTTACTATTTAAACTTGATACTTAATACTAAGAAGACAATTGTTTTATGAAACACTACTGCAAAAATGCATTTTTAAGAATTCTTCCATACAAAATTTTAAATTTACCTATAAATCATTTCATTTTTTATATTTGCAGCAAAAACTTATGAGAAAATAAATAAAAAGATTTTAAAAAAAGCAAATAATTACATTGAAAAAAAAATCTCAGTTAAATACAGCAATTATTAAATATTTTTATATTATAAAATTAATATACTAAATATTTTTATTAAAACAATAATAAAATAAGAACTTTTATTTTTTCTATTATTTACTAAATAATTTTATTAAAACAATAATAAAATAAGAAGAATATATATATATATATATATATATATATATATATATATATATATATATATATATATATATATATATATATATATATATATATATATATTAGCGCTGAGCAATGATTAAAGATTTTTTTGCAATTTATCGCAATAATGAAATCAAAGGTAGTATATTATGTAAATTTATTCTTTCAAAGTTTTGCTGTATGAACAAAAATGCAGTAACATTAAACTTTCCATTTACTTACTCATCTGCATCAAGCCAGTTGCTAAGACAAATAAGGTCATTCACATTTTCAAATGATAAAGAAACACTCTTCTTTTGCACAACAAGAGAAAACAACCTTTCGCAAAGTACGGATGTTTCAGGTGTTGCCAAGTACTTCTCTGTATTGAGGCCAGCCTACTGTGTGAGCTTGCATGTTTAGACCACCACTGTAATGGACAGGCATCTGTACTAATGGTGGGCTCTGCTCTGTATGCTCTGAAACACACTGTTCTTATTGAGTCTTTTTACATTTTCATAATCAGACTCTGATGAAGCAACCAATAGAGCAAACTTTCTCTTTGATGGCTTTGATATTATTTCCACAGGTTCATCAGCAATAAGCCTCTGTTTATTAAGAAAGTTAGTGACTGAGGCATATACCTCACCTCTCTCAACTCTGGATATACACTTAAGGTCTTTGAATCTCGGGTCCAATGTGATTGCCATCCGATGTTGGCATTTTTTTACGTGTTTCCAGATATGCTCTGATTCTAGACTTGAATTTAACAACATAGGCAGGGTCATCATCTGAGCTCTCCGTTACCTGAGAGAAATGACAAAAAGCAGTCACATACCTGCAAAAAATCAAACCCATTTCACTCAAATGTTTTGCATTCACTTCAACACACAAAAAATGTTCTCATATTCATGCTTTAACACACATACAGACACATTAATTCTTTCTCTGCAATCAGACCAGTTGTTGAGAAAAATATGAGTAAAATACACTTGCAGGCCTCCATATGCTTTTCCAATCTCTGCAGTTTGTTCATTTCAGTTAATATTGACATAGTAATTATCGCATTGTGTGTGGTGAGGACATCTATCAGTGGCTGTTTGTTTCTGAAAACACTTTTCATCATGTTCAGAGTCAAATTCCATCTGATTGGAACGTCTTGTAGAAAAGACTCCTTTTTGTTCGAGTTCAATTTGTTTTTTTCTAATTCTGTAGCACTTGCTGGACTGTGTTTAAAATGGTCAACCACCTTTCTGCATTTAACCAGGTCATTGTAAAATGTGCTGTTGTGCAGAGATACTGCGAAGGAACGCTGGAGACATTCGTTGTAATCCCTAATAAGATTATTCAGAACTTCTGGCACGGAACTCTGCTCGGAACCTTAAATCGTAACAAACCAAATATCGCTTCCCAACTACTTCTTCCTCGAGTTCAATTTGATTCTATAACTGTGTATTCTGTAAAAATGCACTTAGTGAGTAAATACCAAAAACTAAAAAGGTTGTTATCATGTTGTCTACTCATCCGCACATCTACAGAAATGTCAAAAGAAGCACATTGAAAGCCATTTTCGATTCTTCAATATAATAATACTAAGTTTAGTGTAGATACAGTTGACCAACTAGCTCATGCATACACTACACAGCGAAAGGTAAGATTAAAATTTAGTAACAATAGTTTTTTTCCTTATGATTTTTATAATTTTAATAAATCTGTATCTTGGAATTTTTTCTAGACACTGCATTGGCCAATGACTTTGTTTGGCCACCTCCTCGATTTTGCTGCCATTAACGTCAGTATTTTGTTCCTCTTTAATAAGCCACAGTGGGAAGGTGATCATAGTGGATCAAAAAGACAACAAATCTTGCTGAAAATGAGCCTGGAAATAATGAAAACTGCAATGAAACACCAAATTATTGAGCATCTGAGAGGGGCATTTCAACATAGCCCTAGACACGCCAATTAGTTGTGATATTTGTAAATAGTGACATAGAATTATCGCTGACATGAAATACGGCTATTTTATTTTTATATTTTACTTAAAAAACCATAAATAACAAATAATTTTGTTGTTCTTTTAAATAAAAAAGTTATATTATAATGGATTCTTTAACTCCTGCTAAACTTGAAATGTTGAAGTCTTATATTTACTCTCTGGCTGCAGCAGCCAAGGGCGATGTTTAAGGTTGTAAAACAAGCACGAAAATTAAGGGTTAAATGCAATTAGTAAAAAGAAACAGGACAAATCAAAGAAAGAAAGAAATGTAGTCATATTTGGGATTCCAGAATCAACCAAAATAATGGAAATAGACCAAAAAAATTACAACAAGAAGGAAATAAAAAGAGTGTTTGACTGTTTGAACCTTATAGCAAGATCACAGGTTAAAATCAGTGTATAAGTCCAATTACCAATGTACAGTATACATTAATCCTAATTTGACACACGCTCAAAGCATTGTACGAAAGCAAGTAGTGTATGAGCAAAACCGCCTAAATGCTGCACAAATTGACATGTCGACTTTGTACATCATCCAAAATGGAGCAGTAGCTATGAATAAAGTATCAGCTGTAGGTACGGCAGTGACAATGGCTTTAACAGATGGCCAATTAATATTAGCAACTCCAACAAACGCAAACACTTCATCTGCAACAGTTGGAGCAAGTTCAAAAATCACAAATGCATAACCACATCATAAGCATAATTCACAGACATCATTAAAATTCTGGTATATCAACACCACTTCTCTAAACAACAAAAGACACCAATTTAAAGCTCGAATAATGGGAGAAGTTTCATCGTCATGGTTAAATATACTCAGTGATGTTCCTCAGGGATATGCACATTGGCAAATAGAAAAATAAGACCATCTATACGATTACAGAAAATAATGTTGAGAACAAACTAGGCAAAACAGAATACAGAAATGATTTGTACTCTGTACACAGTGCTAGTTAGACCTCACCTTGAGTTTGCAATTTCTGTTTGGATTCTACTTTGAAAAGTGACATTAAAACACTAGAAAAGGTCCAAGATCGTGCAACCAAACTGGTGCAGAATCTCAAACATCTGAGTTATGAGGAGCAACTATCCAAAATGAAGTTGAATGAATGTTGGAGACTAGGCATTTGCGCAGCAATCTAATGCAAGAGTACAAATTATTAAACAATATATCATATTATATGGCTTAAACCACAACAATTTGCACCGCCTTTACTAGCAAACGAACCAGCATCAGCAATAAGAGGTCATAATCTAAGAAGTGAAAAAAAAATGTCAAGCATTCTTCGTCTCAGCAAGCATTGTTTAATAACCATATTGCAAATGAACTATATATATGTATATATATATATATATATATATATATATATATATATATATATATATATATATATATATATATATATATATATATATATATATATATATATATATATTTCTTAGTTTCCAGGCTATATATATATATATATATATATATATATATATATATATATATATATATATATATATATATATATATATATATATATATATATATATATATATATATATATGTATATATATATATATATATATATATATATATATATATATATATATATATATATATATATATGTATATATATATATATATACATATATATATATAGCCTGGAAACTAAATATATATATATATATATATATATATATATATATATATATATATATATATATATATATATATATATATATATATATATATATATATATATAGCCTGGAAATTAAAAAATTTAAACTGAATACTCAGTACTAAAAGAAATTGTTTAGTGAAATCTATATATAACAATTACTTATGTTACATAAAATGAAGTTTTTACTAAAAATGTATTTTCAAATGTTTCATCTGATTCCTTGAATAATAGAAGAAAAAAAGTTGGCAATTTTAAACTTAGTTAAAAATATATTTATTCATTACTAAAATTAAATTTATTCATTTCAATGATTTTGCAAAGGGCAGGAAAAGCTACAAGAAAATGAATGAAAAAGTTGAATAAAAAAAAAAGTAGAAAGATAAAATGTTCTTAGTTACCTTTGAAAAATACAACTAATAAAAAAATAAGAACTTCAATCTTTAAAGTTAACAACATTAAGAAAATGATTACACATTTTATATCTCTGCTCATTAGAATCAAAAAGTGCGCAAACGGACAATTAATAATTTTAAATTTATCTATAAATCATTCATTTATTGCAATTTGCAGCAAAAAAAAAAACTTAGAAAAAAAAGTACAGTTAAAAATGTTATTAATACAACGATTATTGTATATTTGTATATTATTATTAATATATATTAATAAGAACTTTATTCATATATGAAAAAAGGATTTTTACCACCAATAAAATCAAAAAAATAAAGCCAAAAATTAATATATATATAGTTTACATCATATTTAATACTTGTCAATGAAGCGAATTGTAGCATATTGTAAACAATGAAACTATTTTAATCGCATTTTTAAAATTTAAATGATTTTATCAAATTTTAGTATATACATTTTCCAAATTACATTCTGAGTATTTGTTAAGAATCTACTTTGGGAGGTCAAAATAGCTATTTTAGTCATATCGGGTGTTTGTTTACCGTGGACTGGCCATTATTTTCCGTGCTGAATTTATATATATATATATATATATATATATATATATATATATATATATATATATATATATATATATATATATATATATATATATATATATATATTTATATACAGTAGCTTTCATAAATTTAGACGCATTCATTTTTTTTTTCATTAATGTAAGAAAATACTCAAAATAAAAATAAAATAAAAGTGCTACCGCTATGTTTGATATATAATTTAAAAGAGGAAGTAAAACTCTATTATAAAGTACCTTAATTTTTTTTACAGGATGTTTATTACTCATTTTATACCGATTAACACAATAAAAGTTAATTGATAAGCTTGATTTTATTTTGTTCATAAATTTAGACGCACAATCAAAAAAGTCTTATATCTTGTTAACTGATAGTTAATTTTCCCATATTTATCATTAATAGACCTAAATTAATTGATTTTGTCAAAAAACCTTATATAAATATGACTTCCTTGGAAATAGTTAATCATTATTTAATAAATAAACAAAAGTTAAGTTAGTTTTGCACTAAAAAGACGTGAAAAATGGGCAAAAGACGTATCACTCAAGGTGAAAGATGGCAAATTATTGCGCACATCAAAGAAGGAACCAAAAGTAATAGAGAAATCGCCAAGTTAATTGGATTTTCTGAGAAATGCGTTCGGACAACAAAACAAAACTTTCTTCACACTGGTGGTGCCAGCGAGAAAACGAGGTCAGGTAGACCCTTGTCAACCACCAAAAAGGATGACAGTGTTCGTTTTAGAGCTGTCAGAGCTAATCCAAGAATTAGTTACAAAGAATTGAACACAGAATTCAATACAACGCGAAATACATCTATTTCTCAAAGCATAGTCCGCCGAATACTTATCAAATACAAGATTGAAGTCTACACTGCTTTGAAGAAACCACTTCTGCGTCCATATGATAAACAAAGGAGACTAAAATGGTGTCGTAAAAGAAGGTATTGGACAATAGAACAATGGGAAAACATTATGTGAAGTGATGAGAGTAACTTTGAGCTTATCAATCGCAAATCTAACATAAAAGTCAAAAGAATGGCTCACGAAAAGTATTACGCCAGGTACATTAGACCGACTGTACAAAGTGGAGGTGGCTCGATAGGAATCTGGTTATGCTTCAATTACAAAGGTGTTGGTATGTGCCAAACATACACCGAAGAATCAACTCCAGAATATACGTAGAAGTACTGGAAAACAACTTAATTCCATCACTTGACCTGCTTATGCTCAATGATAAACCATGGAAACTTCAATAAGATGCACATACTGTATACTATACAAGGGAGTGGTTCAACAATAATAATATCATAGCAATACCGTGGCCTCCATACTCACCTGATTTGAACCTGATTGAAAACATTTGGGCTTAGATTGACCGTGAATTAGCAAAGGTTCAAATTTCCACACTAGGTCGGCTGAAGGAATTCCTTAAGGAGACCTGGTATGAGGTACTAGAAGCGATGTGCAAAAATCTTGTCGAGTCTATGCCTATTAGAGTTCTTAGTTGTATTAAAGCAAAAAGCCGATACACAAAATATTGATTGGTTCATAAATTACGCCTTCTAATGTATTGTGCGTCTAAATTTATGAATAATTTTTTTTGTCTAATTTTTTTAATACCATGTAGTTGTACCTAATTATTACTTAGTATTTCATTTTGTTTTTGTAAACTTTTTTTAAATTTTGTATTCTGTATGTATTTATCTAATAAATAGAAAAAAAACTAAACCGAAATCTTTTTTCGTCATTGTTTTATCGATAAAAAACTAAAAATTTCTATTCTCAAATATGAGTTCATCTAAATTTATGAAAACCACTGTATATATATATATATATATATATATATATATATATATATATATATATATATATATATATATATATATATATATATATATATATATATATATATATATATATATATATATATATATATATATATATAGTTCTTTCGCATTCAAGCTTTTTTGTCTCCCCCACATGCCAGCAAAAACTTTAGCGAATACATAAAAAAACAATTGCCAAAAAAAATAATTTTAAATTGTAATAAATCTTTTTTGATCATCTTTTTTGTTACTTTTATGAAAAATCGTGAAAACACTTTTACCTATTTTATTTAGAATTCAAATAAAATTATATATTTTTTTTTTTGTTTTGTAGTTTTCATTTTAATTATTTTAATTTTAAACTTAAATAAAACGTTTGTCTTTTTGTTTCTATTTTAAATTAATTTGTTTAATATTTATATGAAACTATTATTGTTCTGTCATTTGTATTTTAATAAAGCGTTCATTATGCTGGGTTTTTTTTTTTAATTATTTCATTTAGAATTTAAATAAAATGCCTGTCTTTTCATTTTTATTTTAACTATTTCGTTTGATATTTCAAAATGTTTATTAATTTTTATTTATTTTTTGCCAATTTTATTTAAATGTTTTATCTAGAATTTAAATAATACATTTGTTTTGCTGAATGTCTTCAAATTATTTCATCTAGTATTTATTCAAAGCATTCTTTTTGGTGGTAGATTGAAAAAAGATGATTTTTTAAAATCTCGCAATCCTAAAAATTCACATCCGACCATTGCTTTTTCGTGTGCTGGCATTAAATTTTAAACAGAGAAGATTGATATGTAGATATAATACAAATATATTAAATTAATATTTTTATTTATATTTTATTAACTATTACCTATAAATCTGAATAGTGCTAAAACTTTGTAGAAGATATCATACACAAAAAAATATGAACTGTTATATGTATAACTTTTTACATTGTTCTTGTCATTTTCTAACATAATCAGAGGAATTTGATCATGAAAGATTTTTGAAGTTTTTAGCAACTCAATGTTCCTAATAACATCATCAAGTGTAGATACATTCAAACTATGTAATTCATTCTGAACATAACTAAGACCATTTTTACGTAACCAACAAAGTAGTTGTGCTTCTTTTCTGAGCTGTTCAATAGCTTTGGAAAGTCTATTAATACTTTCAAGAGATGAAGTATGAAAATCTTTTTCAAGGATATAAAGAATATCACTAGTTGTAAGACGAAGAACGCCATCAAGGGTGCTTATATCTAAAATAAAATCAGTATATTACAAAAGTGTTATTATAAGTTTTGATAATTGTGATTATATAAAAATCAAACTAACAATTTTGTTGAATGTTAAAGCACGTTATCTTAATTTATTTTTTTTAATTCAGATTTACTTTTAACAAGACTGCAAGCAACCACTATTAAGTTGGGAGTTACTAGAAAAAAAATAGAGTCAAAGAGCAAGGAAATGGTTGACAGAAGACTTGAAAGGTTGTAGGTTGTTTGGATCAAGAAAACATTAAGATACAAGAGAGTTCCAAAGAGTTGAAGTGCAGAGAAACAAAAACTAGACAAATAAAAGTTTTTAGAGCAGATTTTTGATAGTTTCAAGATGCCTTACTTATTCAACTTTATTTGAAAATATAAACTATCAATTTTGTAAACTGTTGCAAATTATTTTGTAAATTATCAAATATTGAAGCAAAAATAAAGGCCCATCTCCACTGTCCACTTTCCTGTCAACTTCATGCAAAAAATTTTACTACTTTATTAAAATTCATGGAAAAAAAATTTTTACTTATTATTACTTTATACTTTATTTATCTAATACTCCAGGTCAGGTCAGGATAATCAAGATCAATCTTGCTACTGGTATCTTGTAACCCAGTACCACCTGCCACAAGCCCTGCTGCCTTGTAGAGTGTGCTCTTCTTAGGCAAAGGCTAGGAGAAATAAACTCCGACTAAATATTCCCCTGCCTTGGGGCTCTTGGTTGAGTAAAGGCTAGAGATGGTGTCTCGATAAAAATACTCATCTTGGGCAGATGTTAACTGCATCCAGCTACTGCCTTATAGAAGGCCTCCTAGGCAAAGACTTTAGGAGTAAGCAGAAAAATTCTTCTAACCAGCCTCGAACCCCTTCTTCATCTATTAGGCTGGCGTAGATGTAACCTGTGTTACATTGTTTCCTGCCTAGGATGATGAATGCTGGATCTCCTTGATTTTGCTCATAGAATTTTGCTTATGCCTCCTTGATAATGGCTATGCAACTCTTCCTGTTATCTCCATATGAGGGTACAGCTCTAAAACTCAGTTTAATGGTTCTGAGGCCCGCTAGTAGTACGGTTTCCCGAACTCTGTGGTAGCTCTCAGAGAGGCTGATTCCATCAACAGCTGCAAAATATCAGAGTATTAACAGTGCCATGTTGCGCATGGATGGTGTCCCTGTTAATGCTTTTGGTGTGCATTGTCAAGGCCACATAAGGAGCCCTATGTCACGGCTTAGGGTTAATTAACAGGACTGAGACAACTGCATAGCTCATTGATTAGGAGGCTGTGCTCTATCTATGAATGAGTCAAGTTCTCATTAAACCCAAATCATGACCAAAGTAACCAAAAATTTAAAACCTAAAAAACCATCCCCACCACCTAAATATTTTAATACAAATATTCGCAGTCTACGAAGCAACTTTCCATCAGTTGAGTCTTACCTCCTGCAAAATAAACCCGACTTGCTTGCACTCAGTGAAACAAATTTAAATTCTGCATTTCCTTCTTCGGATGTCAGTGTTGATGGGTACTATACTTATATGTATATATCACGAGTATCGGAGTCTTTACTTGATTCGTAAAGACTCCGATACTCGTGATGGTCCTTGGGCTGATGTTTTTTCTCTCTCAGCTGATAAATGCGCCTCCTACGTAACCTCCTGGATTCAGGCTGGAATGGAAGCTTTTATTCCTTCTCGTCAATTTCAAGTCAAGCCTCATTCTACTCCATGATTTTCTCCTTCTTGTGCGGCTGCTATATCCAATTGTAATCATTTTTTTCATCTTTTTCAAAAGAACAACTCTCTTGAGAACAAACGGCTATTTATTAATGCAAAAATTGATGTAAAAAGGTGCTTTCTGATACTAAACTCTATTATTCTCAGTTCACTAAATCTCGCATCTTATCACAGAAGGTAGGCTCTAAAGACTTTTGGAAAATCTTCAACAGCATTATTAACAAGGGTAGATCTAACATTCCATCTCTCATTCATGGGACTGATCTTATTACCTCTCCCAAGGATAAGGCAGAACTATTTGCAAAGAACTTTTCTTCAAACACCACTCTTGAATCTTATGGACATTCTCTTCCTTTCATTCCAGTCAAACAGGTTGACCCATTGTTAGACATTCAAATCACTCCGGCTTCTGTTGCTAAAGTCATATCTCAATTAAACTCGTCTACAGCTTGTGGTCCAGACAACATTCCTGTCACAGTCTTGCAGAATTGTTCTCCAGAACTTTCTTCAGTTCTCTCTAAACTATTTAACAAGTGTTTGACTGAGTCTTGTTTTCCTGCTTGTTGGAAAATGCCACCTGTGGTTCCAATATTCAAAAACTCTGGAGAAAATTCTGACCCCTCCAATTATCGTCCGATCAGTCTTCTTTCTGTTATTAGCAAGGTCTTTGAGTCTTTGATCAACAAAATCTCATTTTGAGTCAAATAAACTACTGTCAGACAATCAATATGGTTTTCGATCCTCTCGCTCTATGGCCGACTTGCTAACTGCTGTAACTGTAAGATTTTATCGTGCATTAGATGGAGGCAGTGAGGCTAGGGATATTGCTCTCGACATATCTAAAGCTTTCGACAAAGTTTGGCATGCTGGTCTTCTCCATAAGCTTGTTTCATATGGTGTTTCTGTGAAAGTTTTTGAGATTATCAAATCATTTCTTTCTAACCGGTTTATTAAAGTCATCCTTGAAGGCCAACACTCTTCTTTATTTCCAGTAACTTCTGGGGTTCCCCAAGGTTCCACCCTGGGCCCTGTTTTGTTTCTTATCTACATAAATGATCTTCCTGACAACCTTTCATCTAAAGTAGCTCTTTTTGCTGATGACTCAACTTTATACTCCTGTCTTGACAAAAAGTCTTCTCTTTTCGATCGCCTAGAAGAAGCAGCTGATCTTGAATCCGATCTCACTTCAGTAATAGATTGGGTTTCACAGTGGCTTGTGAATTTCAACTCTAACAAAAGTTGTTTACTGCAAACAACTGCCGTAATATGGTCAACATTCCTATATTAATAAATGGCAATCCTCTTACTGAGTCCTCCTCTTTACGTCTTCTTGGATTATCGCTTACTACTGACCTTTCATGGAAACCATATATACAATCGATTGCTAAATTAGCTTCTGCTAAGATTGCTTCTCTTTATCGTGCTCGCCATTTCCTTACTTGTGATTCCATTCTCTACCTCTACAAATCTCTTATTCGTCCCTGTAAGGAATACTGTTGTCATATTTGGCTGGTGCTTCTAACGATTCACTTTCTCTTCTTGACAAGGTCCAAGGAAAGGGGCTCAAGCTTAGCAGATAGTCCAGGTCAAAATGTTGTTGGACCTGGACTATCTGCTAAGCTTGAGCCTTTTCCCATCGTCGTAAAGTTGCATCTCTTTCTCTTTTCTACAAATACTATCATGGTCACTGCTCAAAGGAGTTATCATCTCTTGTTCCATCAACTAAAATTCATTCTCGTTTTACTCGTCATTCAGCTTTACTCATTCGTTTACTGTATCTGTCCCTGCATGCTCTAAAAACTTTTATTCATCTAGTTTTTTCCCCCCACTTCAATCCTTTGGAACTCTCTCCCATCTTCATGTTTTCCTGACTCATACAACCTTCAACTTTTCAAGTCTTCTGTCAACCGTTTCCTTGCTCTATAACTCTGTTCTTTTTTTTCCTAGTAACTCCCAACTTAATAGTGGTTGCTTGCAGCCTTGTTGGGAGTGAATGCAAATTAAAAAAAAAAAAAAAAAAAAAAGATGAAAATGAATTAATTAGATTAAAGAGTATCAATTTTGTCAAAAAATGGGTTGGTCAGTAAAAAATGGTCTTAAAAATGGGTTGGTCAGTAAAAAATGGTCTTAAAAATGGGTTGGTCAATAAAAAAAGGTCTTAAAAATGGATTGGTCAGTAAAAAGTCAGTTTAACAGTTGACAGTAATACTCATTTTAAAAAAATGCTCCAAGATCAAAATGTATATCAATCGATTTTGGTGCAAGACGGATAGAATTACATTTGCCCATATTATATAGCGTCTGAATGTGATACCATGAGACTATATTTAGAACTTAAATACTGTAGCGATGACACTATGGAGAAAGCATTTTTCCCTAATGTTTGTTAAATAAAACATTGAACTTTCAAAATGATTGATACACAAACAATAATCATTGTTTAAAACTTCAATAAGTTTTCAGTTAAGATCTCCTCTTGCACCTGTAGCAATAAGATTAGTATATAACTTTCATATTTGAGAAGTTAAACTCTAAAGGTATGGCTGTCTGCAAATGTTATTAATTCAAAAAAGGAAAGCAAATTAAAACAACTATTTAATTAACTTCATTAATGAAACATTTCCTAGAAAATAAAATATTATCAGATTCTCAGTATGCCATTACTTACTTATAAATTGGAATGCAAGATGATAATTAAAGGAGTACCACAAGGCTTGGTATTAAAGTCATTGTTGTGTTATAAACATTGATGATATATCACATAAAATAAAAACAAGTTGCAAGTTGTGTTTCAAATCAAATCAAAAATATTCTAAACAAAGTTGTTACATCAAGAAAATTTACAAATAATAATAGGTACTAATATGAAGTAAACACCTGTCAAGTTTAATAATAATACAATGGAGATAATAATAACTAAAATACAAGATGGAATTATAAAAATAACAGTAGTGATTAAAAATAATAGTAGCAATTATGAAAAGTATATACTATAATATAAATAATAATAATATTATTATTAATAAATAACAATAACATACCATTTCTAATAAAAATGTGATAAAACTCTTCTAACTGATTTTTTTTAAGCCAACCCTGGAATTCGTCAAAACGCCTATGCTCAATATACCAATGCAAGCTGATTGAAAATAATATAACTGTGACTACAATAGATACTTTATATGCTACAATATTTTCTATGTTTCTATGAAACTCCATTGCATTACAACCATTGTTTTCCTGATAGGTAGAACTTTTATATAAATTATTTTAAATAACATATTTCAAATAATTAAAAAAAATTAATTGATTAATTGATAGATATCAAATAAAATAAATGCTTTTGAAAAATTCATTATATATATATATATATATATATATATATATATATATATATATATATATATATATATATATATATATATCATATATATATATATATATATATATATATATATATATATATATATATATATATATATATATATATATATATATATATATATATATATATATATATATATATATATATATATATATATATATATATATATATATATATATACTGGATCATTATATCTTTTGTAAAAAATCAGTTTTATAAGTTTTTACATTTAAATTTTATTTGTAGAAATTTTCATATAAAATTTAACAAAAAAAGATTTTATACCTTGAAATTTTTCACAAAACTTAAAATGTTTTTAGTTTATTTTCAATCATTTAAACCATTTACTTTCAAGCTTAAAACTTTCCAACAATTTTATAAATTTTTGAAAACTTATAAGGAAACAAAACATAAACCAAAAACTTTTTTAATTAAAAGAAAACAAAATAAAAGTTGTTAACTTGAGTTCAACTTTTTTTTTCTAAATCTTTTTTTTTTTAGAAACAATTAGAAACAAAGGCATCTAAAATTTGACAAAAAACAACTTTTTTTTTTTTATTAGATTGAATAGTTTATTCAAATTAATTAAATTATGATGTAACTCGATAAAAGAAAAAAAGTTTTGGAAAGTTGAGTCAATAAAAAGTTTAGGAAATAGATAAAATTGTTCAAAATTTTAAAAACATAATATATGAAACAACAAATGTTCTCAAACAAACGAAAAATATAATAATTTTTTTCATGAACATGATATGTATTTTTCAATAAATATCTTTAAGAATAAAGTGTTTTCTTTTAAAAAAGATTAATTATCAAAATCACTATTGAAAAATATATTTATAATGAACTTATTTAGCAAAGAAAAATTACAAAAAATATCTGTTCTTCAAAGCTTTAATGTGTCTAATAATCCTGCAGGGGCATTGTATGACCATGAAATTGAATAATGCCGTAACATTTCATATAGAAGATCAACTTCATCAAGAAATTCCAATCGTTCAATTCTCTGCTTATCATTTGAAGGCAAATTGTTATATACATCACTCAAAAGTTTTATATTGACATCTGAGAAAACTTTGTAAAATTGCTTTTTTGATTGGATATCAGGAAAGGCGCCTAATAAAGGGCAGTTTCTTTGGGAAAGGTTTTGTCTCATAACCTCTCCAAATTTGTCATTTAAATTTATTGGGTCATAATCTGCAAGTAATACAATAGGGAACTCTTCTGTAAAATAGTTTAGCAACTTACTTATAGAAGAAGTATCCATGTAGACAAATACACATTCTGCTAAAATTAATGTAGGTACTTTCTTTGATATGCCTGCTGCACATAGAGAAGCATCAATACTTTTTACTTCACGCAAATCACATGCCATTAAGTGATATGTGTCTGTATCTAATGTTAGGTCTGTAGTTCTGACTTTTTCTGAAAGAAAGGATTTATTCAGTTGAAGTTTAGAAAGGATAATAGACTTTTTCTTTTTGACAACTTGCGGCATATCAATTTCATAAAAGCCATGCTTTGGTTCAAGTTGCTTTTCTAAAATGTTCCAAAATAAAGTATCAAAGCCAGCTCCTAAGTTAACAATTTGACATTGGCAATTTGTTTTTAATAAAAATTGTTCAACCAAACTTTTTATGCACCAATGTCTAATGTAATAGCCTCTACTAATTTCTGGTGTCTTTCGACCAGGCGAAGAAGTCACAAACAAATCAATGTATGGGTCAAACCAATACCCTTTAGAAACTGCATATTTTTTGCAGTGTGATGCATCATCATTTGTTGAAATAAAACCATCATAAGACATTCTTATAAATAAAACAAGTAAAATAGTATACAATTAAATGAATAAGTTAATAAAAAAAAGTAAATCCATAATTAGACAAGTTAAGAATTAATTAAAACCAAAAAAAGTTGTAAATAAGTCTGTAATTAAAGCAATCTTTAAGAAATTTTTTTTTCTTCAGGGTGGTTTAAAATGCTTTTAATATGACAAAGAAAAAATTGATTTTTTTAAATAGTGTATAAATGCTCACTTCCTGCTTTGCTAAAAAATACACCCTTATCTTTTGATAATTTATAAGTTTTTTATTCAATAAATAATGAAAAACTACATAAAAATTAACAGTTTATATTAAACTCAAGAAAAATTAAAATATAAAGATTTCAATAAAATTAAATGTTAATTAGATAATTGTAAGATAATAGTTAAACTTCTTAATGCTTTATATGCATATATACATACATGGATATACATATATACATACATAAATTGATATATAGATACACACACAGACACACAGATATATATATATATATATATATATATATATATATATATATATATATATATATATATATATATATATATATATATATATATATATATATATATCCCTCGGAATTAAGGTCGGCATTAAGCAATGCCGACCTGACTTGGGTCCTGAAAGTGTTTCAGATCGGCAAAAAATTGCCAACCTTGTTTCTATGTTTTATGGTCAGACCTTTGTATTAAATAATTTTTGCTGACCTGATGCCAACCTCTAAAAGATTGAGATCTAGGCAAATTATTGCTGACCTCTTTTTTCCTAATTCCAAGGGTTGCATATATATATATATATATATATATATATATATATATATATATATATATATATATATATATATATATATATATATATATATATATATAAATATATGTATATATGTATATGTATATATATATATATATATATATATATATATATCGATGGTTAAAAGCACAAAAGGAATATGTCCAACATTTTACGTTTTTGTTTATATTAACAGATATTGTATTAAAGTATGTAAAAGAAATGAAAATAAAATAGTAAAAAACAAGACAAATGTAATTGAGGAATGCATTTGGTTAAAAATCATGACAATAAATAAGTATCATGAATTATTGTATGTTTTCAAACTTTCAAATTCAGATTTCTCAAAACAATGCTTAGTGTACATACTCCCTTTTTTGCTCTTAACCATCGATATATATATATATATATATATATATATATATATATATATATATATATATATATATATATATATATATATATATTTATTTATTTATTTATAAATTTGTGAAAAAAAGTTAAGTTTATCTAAATAAATAAAGTTTATCTAAATAAATGTTATTGTCATTTCAAACTAAAATAAGATAATTGTCACTTCAGCTAGTGGAATAATATTTATAACGGCTGCAATAACTACGTGTAAAATCCATTTAACATTTTATGACATGTTATCGCCATCATTCAATAAAAACGAAATATCTTCTATACTAAGAGTTTGAAGTACTTCTGCAACTTGCTGATTTATTGTTTCTTGATTAAGATTCATTGAAACATTATTATTAATATCATTTATTGAGTTTGAAGCAACACCTAGATTAGCAGTGTTTGTAATATTTTGAGGATTGTTGTTGCTAATAGTATTAACTACTAATTCCATTAAACCTCTGGGATTGACAAATTCAGAATAGCTTGCATGACACAATGGACATCTTCTAAACCCAAAAGTTTCAATTCTTTTGTAGCAATGGACATGAATTAGATGAGTACACTTTGGAACAAAAGCTGGTTCGGTTGCAGTATGTACATTTTCAAAGCAAACAGGGCAATTGTCTTTACCACTATCTGTTCTACACTGATGAGAATTGAACAATGTTTTACGAAGACAAATATCACATTTATCACAATGAAAAAAATTATTTTGACCACCTACTCTGCAAGTTTTACATTTATCACAGTGAAACTGTTGCTTGTCAGTATCATCAAACAACCTACAAACTAGACATGAATACATACCAAAACGTATTCCACATTCAATGCAATGAGTTGCTAGATTTTGTACTGTAGAGCATTGTTTACACTGAACATGATCCACAATATCACGATTAAGCTCATGATCTTCAACCATATCATGACATTGTCTGCAGTTATAAGCTTTTTGACAGCATGGAGTAATTATAAGACATCTCCTTATATAATGAAGACATTCTGTCATTTTTCTATAAAATACAACATTCAAGTAATATATATATATATATATATATATATATATATATATATATATATATATATATATATATATATATATATATATATATATATATATATATATTCTTTATAAACATATTTATAAATATATTCTATAAAACACAACATTTAAGTAATATATATATATATACATATATATATATATATATATATATATATATATATATATATATATATATATATATATATATATATATATATATATATATATATATATACAAGTATATCTTTTAGTGACATAAAGATCCCACTACACAATATTTTGTAATTTTTAACGATTTTTGTTTTGTTTTTGATTTTGTATTCAATGGCTGATGATTGCTGTATAGGCATGAAACTTAAAGTACCAAGAAAAAGTTGTTTTTTCTTCGTTAATATTTATATGTATATGTGATATATATGTATATGTGTGGGTAGGCCTTCAAGAATAACTTTAATTCTGCAGTTAAAAAGAAATAACTTAATCTCAAAAATTTTATATAAAGAAACTAATAATAGAGTGAAGACTAATTGTAGGATAGTTGGAGAGGTCAAAGTGTTCTCTAGAGTTTTGAAAAATTGGAACCACTTACTTAGCAATTTTTAAAAGTTTAGCAAAAATCTTGTCTTGAGCACAAACTGTAGAAGTGTTCAATTGAGAATTAACTATAGCATTATAAGCCATAGTAATTTTAATGTTTAACAATGGGTTAATCTGTTTAACTGGCAGGAAGAGTTATTAAGCCATTAGATTCAAGAGTTGAATTAAAGTAAGATTTTTTTGCAAAAAACTCTGCCTTTTTCTGGGGAGAAGTAAAAGGTCAGACCCATGGATTAGAGTTGTTTAATTTAGTTAATGACACTGTTAATGACTTACCAAAAGTCTCTTGATCCTAACATTTGAGATAACAAGATTTAGTAAAATGAGAATAACAGAACTTAACATCAGACAGGACTTTTTTAGATTGGCTTCTTGGAATAATAAATCGACATTTGTTCTTAAGATAGATGCTTTTGTAAAAACGATTAATGTTTAATAAAGTAACTGCTCAAGATGGTGAAAAACGTGGAGTAGAATGAGACTTAACTTAAAATTGAAAAATAGGAATAAAAGCTTGCAAACTTTTAGTCCAGAAGGAATAAAAGCTTTTAAGATGCGCTTTATACATACATAATATGGGTATAAATATATATATTTGCTATTTATTTAGATGCTGGCAAATAATATCCTTTCATATTTATATAAACTTTAGTAATTATATGGTGTAGTCTTTATCAAAATAGAAGAAGGATCAGATGAATGTGTGTTATGACTCTAATACGACAAGAGAAAGAGGCATAGTGTTAGACAGATTAGAAAAAAGCATCTTATTGGACAACATTTGTTAAAGAAGATTAAAGTGATTTAGGTATCAGCCTGTAGAGAGGTAGAAGTTTCAGGAGAAAATGGTAGTGGTAGAAGTAAGAAAACTTGAACAGAGTGCCTTATATATTGTATGAATGAGGTTTAGTTAAAGAAAGAAAATACTCTATATTGTTTATATTAGAGAAAGAGCATAAAAGAGGAAAGCTAAAGCCTGATGATGACAACAACGACAACGATGATGATGATGATGATGATGATGATGATGATGATCATGATCATGATCATGATGATGATCATGATGATGATGATCATGATGATGATGATCATGATGATGATGATGATCATGATGATGATCATGATCATGATGATGATCATGATCATGATGATCATGATGATTATGATCATGATCATGATGATCATGATGATGATCATGATCATGATTATGATGGTAATGATGATCAATTGTGATCAAGGTTTAAAAACAGTTTTAATTAGAAAAGGAGTAAAGCCACATTCAGTCAATAGAGAGAAATTTAAGCTTTCAGAGCTATACAATCCACCAGCACCAATACCATCACCAACAATATCAAGTTCTCTTTTTCCCACTTGTTTAGCATTGTTAGTTTGCTTTTATTTAACTGATTGTAAATGTGTTTTTAAATTTTTTTTAATGTGTTATTTAAAAAAAAAAAAGTATGTTGAAAATAATTAAGGTGGCGAAATTCCCACAGTTTAGAATTTATTGGGGTAATTTTGCCACAGTATTTTTTTAGTACCTTCTAATGAAAAAATTTATTTTATAAAAAAAAATGTGCAGTTTAACAAAATATTAATGTCAATAACAAAATTTTGCTATTTTCATTTTTGGTTCTTAAGTTTCATCTGTTAAGTCTAATCTTTTGCAAAGTTCAAACTTGGTCTTAGTGAGACTAATTAGAGTTCAGCGTTTTATCTTGTGAATTTAGAAGTAATGGCTATCTTCCTTTAATTTATAAAGACTCCAATAATCAAATGCTTGGCCTGTGCATTAACATTTGTAAAATTCACCCATTTGTCAGGAAACTAGGCTTGAATCCACAGAGTATTCTTTTATGTGTTTTTGTTTATCACCACTTCACTCTATCACCTTTCTCTTTATTCTATACTACTCTGCTTCATTTCAAGACTGCTTACTTTTTGATATTATTTCTGATCAAATTGACCTATCACTTGATCAGAAATAGTGACAGTCCGAATGATTTACCTTCTCTGCTCAACTTATATCTTGTTTCTGATCTTAGTCAGTGCTCAGTTTCTCCACATTTACCCCTAAGTGCTCCTGATAATAGTTTGATCTCTCTAAAATCTTTCTAAAGCTATCATCTCACTCTTCTAAATCATCAAAATCCCCCTATCATTGTACCTTTTACAACAATCTTAAAGCTGACTGGGACTTCCCATGATTTTCTTTGCGATGGCCCATGGGTAAATATCTTGCGTCTCCCTGCTGAAAAATATGCTTCTTATGTAACTTCTTGGATTCAAGCTGGCATAGAATCTTTTACTCACTCTCAACAATTCCAAGTCGAGCCTCACTTTTCTCCATGGTTTTCCTCTCATCCTGCTCTTTCCTCTCGTGCTGCTGCAATTTCCAATCGTAACCACTACTTTCATATCTATCACCAAAACGATTTTCCAACAATTTTTCTAGTAATAGTAAACAGACGTCTGTTTACTATTGCTAGAAACCATTGTAAAAAAGTTTCGTCTAATACCAAAATCTGTCAATTTCAGGTCACAAAATCTCGTATTTCATCTCAAAAGTAAGGCTTCAGAGACTTCTAGAGAATCTTTAATAATGTTTAAGAATATTTATAATAAGGGCAAATCTGTTATTCAACCTCTCTTGCATGATTCAGATTTTGCTACTTCACCTTAAGACAAAGCTGAGTTGTTTGCTAAGAACATTTCATCAATCTCATCTCTTCCACTAATCACATCCTACATGATATTGCCAACCAACAAATTATTCTATTGCTTAACAATGCTTGTATCACTCCAGCTTCTACATCTAAAGCGATGTCCTACTTAAACTCTTCTGCAGCTTATGGTCCAGACAATATATCTATTATTGTCATGTATAATTTCAAAACTATTTAACTAGTACTTATCAGAGACTTATTTTCCAGCAAGCAGTAATCTGCTTCTTTTCCAGAAAGCAGTATCTGTTATCCCTATTTTTATAAATTCTGGAGAGCAATCTGACTCATCTAACTACCATCCTATTAGTCTTCTTTCTATCATAAGCAAGCTTTTTGAGTCATTAATTAATAAACACTTAATCTCTTATCTTGAATCTAATAACTTACTTTTTGATCATCAATATGAATTTTGATCTTCTCATTCTACTGCTGATTTGTTAACGATAATAACTGATAGGCTTTATCGTGCATTAGATAGATGTGGAGAGATCAAGGCTATCACTCTCAATATTTCTAAAGCCTTTGATAAAGTTTGGCATGCAGTTTTTGTCTTCTCCATAAGCTCTCTTCTTACAGTGTATCAGATAACATCTTTAAGACTATTGAATCGTTCCTTGCCAATCATAGTAAAAAGTTGTCCATGATAGACAGCAATCTTCATTTCCTATAACTTCAAGGGTTTTTTTAAGTTCTATCCTTGGCCTAATACTTTTTTTAACATTAAACATTTTTTTTAACATTAAACATTGAACATTTTTAACATTATACATTAAAGATCTCTGAGAAATTCTCACATCAAAGGTGGCATTGTTCGCAGATGATACTACCATTTATTCTTACATTGATATGAAGCCAACACTTTCTGATAACTTGGAGAGGTGGTGAACTTTACCTCAGATAAAACTCAATTCTAATCCAATAATGTAGATTGTATTATATTTATGAATGGTAATGTACTCAATGAGTCATCTACCCTTTGTCTTTCATCTTGGATTAACTTATATCTTGAATCTTTCTTGGAAACCATATATCAAATCAATTGCAAAATTAGCATCTGTTAAGGTTGTATCTCTTTATCATGCTCGCCACTTTTTTAACGTCACAATCTATTTTTTATCTCTCTAAAACTCAGCTCCATCCTTGTATGGAACACTGTTGCCGTACCAAAGTACTGATCTTAGAGGAACTTTCATGTGTGTGTGTGTGTGTGTGTGTGTGTGTGTGTGTGTGTGTGTGTGTGTGTGTGTGTGTGTGTGTGTGTGTGTGTGTCTATATATATATATATATATATATATATATATATATATATATATATATATATATATATATATATATATATATATATACTATGTGTTTAAATTTTAACCCTATTTTTGTTACATTGATTTATGCTGTATTTTCAAAAAAAGAAGAAAAAAATTATGAATAATGATAGAAAAGACTGCTGTCTTTTGCTAACCTTTCAGTCGATGTAGTCCCTATATATATAGTCTGCTGTTGCACTCCCTTGCAACAGCAGACTATATATATAACTATGTTATATATATATATATATATATATATATATATATATATATATATATATATATATATATATATATATATATATATATATTCCTGAATTGCTTTTACGGTTCTCTCTGCT